TATATATATATATATATATATATATATATATAAATATAGATATATATATATATATATGTATATATACGTATACCGGTATATTACATACATGTATACATCCATGGGACAATTCAGTAAATAGCATACCGTCGTGATAAGTGGGGAATGGCTGCAACTCCAGTGGGGATTTATCGCAAACTTTGATATATTTGTAACAACCATCGGACGGAATCACGATGTTTTGGTACAAAACATTCTCCAGTCCTGAATTTGAAATCAGTAAGGATTTAAAAATCAGATATTAGGAAAGAATTAGGAACGCAAATACATGATTATCAAGCTTAAGGAAGCACCCTCAAGCCTAAGTCCAGACACATACATGGGCTTATCAAGCCTTCTGCAGCGTGTTCTATGCGTATTAAAACTGGTTCTCAAATGCTTCCTCGTACAAACCGTGCTGGGAATGCAACAACCCCTTTCAGACCAGAACCAAGATTACCTTCTGCGTACACCCAAGCCGTCTACTTCAAACATACACATAGACTGATGCGTGGGGTGCGTTTCCTGCTGCGCGTGCACGTACCTGTATTCCACAGCATGCTGTTGGACAAGAGATAGTTGTTGACATAAAACAGCTCAGACGCGTCACTGCCAATGTACAGATCGAAGGCCTTTGTGTACGCCGAGATGTCGGTAGACTGGTTGTATATAAAGTCAAAGTACATTCAAGTCAGCAGTGACTTAAAGGAAATAGGGGTTGCCGCTCGGGCTACCGCTGGTATTGTGTCTACAGGCGAGATTTTGAGTGTAGTTGTCACAGTGGTCACATACTCTGAACGAACTACGCTACCATCGCATTCAGGTGGTATCAGTGCTGAAGATATACGGATCTTCGGTGGGTGTGTCTGCATGTGTGTGCTGTTGCGGACTGCTTCACAGACATATCATACAGGTGCACGTGCGAGCGCTTATGGGACTTATACATTGCTACACATACATATAATCTCATCTGGATACATGGGATTAGAATGCATATCATTTCTATGTCAAAAAGCAAGAAATCTGAACATGCATACATACAATCCGATCTGGATTTGAATGTATATCAATGTCAAAAGACAAGGGGCGTGAACATCCACAAGCACACACCTGAGTAGCAAGGGTGGGCTCGCAGAAGTACAGCACCACATTGCTCGAGAAGATGTGCTGCATCCCCACTGTGACATATCCGTCTGTGGCAGAATAGGCAGATGACAAACGTAGTACAGAGTTTCAGTGAAGGGATGAACGGGTCAGCTGTCAAAGACTCCGTCACTGTGCAAAGATTGACAGCGCACATAGTACTCACGACAGTATTGGGACAATATATTGGGCACGCATTCAAAAAAGAAATCAGGAAAAGGAATGGCGGTTGGCCCACTGCAAAGAATGTAGCGAGCTTAGCGTGTCTGCATACGTGCACATGCATCCCAAAACACGCTTGCGAGGCTGTCAATGTATATACCTACATACGTAATCATAATAGGTTTGCGAGGGTAGAAAGATGTCGGTGTATATACGGTACCAAGATGCTGTTATATATGCTTGTAGACCGAACATACCCAAGCCCAGGCAGTAGGACGTTTGCGGCTGACAACCCAGGAGTAGCTGTTGGAAACGGTTGTTCGCACATACAAAGCGGATCAGTACATTACACCGAATGGGCGATTACAATGGTAGTGATAGCTGCCTATGTTTCTGAACTGGCAATGAGCGCATTTACCGAGACAGACAGACTTGTAGGTAACCTGTATGTAGTGACTCAGGTGTGTTGAAGGCTGCAGTGTGCGCCCCAATGCAGGTACTCTCCTTTAGAAAGTGTAAGTGCGGGCGATGTGATGTGCTATATCGAGACTACTTGCAATCGGTACAGATTCATATGAGCTGTAGCAAATGGCTTGGGGATCTATACTAGGGCTTCACTTGTTTCCTGGCATTAAATAGAATACCAGGCATTCTATCAATACAATCACGTACATCCATTATCAGAGATAAAAGTGCAAAAGATTGCACTTCCCAGGCTTCTTGGGCTAGAAGTACACTCCTTCTACAACCAGTATGTCTGGCCTTAGGAAGACAAAGTTAGGTTCCGTCCATACATATGAGCACCCCAGTCGTACCGATACTAGGGCACAATACAGCGTAAGTATTTACATACAGATATGCAGACCATCGTGGCACGTTTTGTGACCCGTTGATATGTTTTTGTACACACCTATGCAGACCATGGTGGTACACATTCTAACCCGTTGATACGTATTTACAAACACATATGCAGGCCATCGCATATGTGGTGTAATATTTACTTACTTCGACGATAAACTTGCCAACAGCCTAAACCTCCGACAATCGCTTAGTGCCGTCTATACGCAAGCATGAGTGATATACATATACGTTACGCACACTTCTTTACCACACATATCGATACCACAAAAACACTTTTTCACATACATATAAACGTATATATCTTGAAGTTGCCATATCCTCAACGGATGGATCCGCGGGCTAGTACAACCTCGCAGATCCAATTAACGCTCTAAACACGCACCCTCCCGCTTAATATCAACTCTTCACGGTTGTATGCACTTTTCAGCTACACGCACTCATGCAAATACATACCGTTGGATCGGTGACGTTTCCAAAGGGGTCTGGAATGGAAACGTTCTTGAAGTTAACCGGAATTTGGGGTGAAGCCTGCACCAGTTTCTGGGCGCATCCCGATTCGGGGTGGTTGGTACCGGTTTGACAATGCGTTGGGACTTCGGGGATGAGCTACGCTTGTGTAGGTGTGTATGTATGTGAGTGCGTGCTCAGATGCTAGCAAGCAAGAGGTATAATGAGAGAGGGTACACAAAGATATCCGTATGAAATGAGAACAAGGCAAAAACGAATGAGGAATACATACAAGCACATGCATGGACCGATTCAAATAAACAATCCACATGCACACGGGCACACGGGTACATACACACACACCTGGCAACAGGTCTTCTCTACGCAGGGCCCGTTACACTGGATGCGTCCTGCAGACAGTGCACACGTCGTATTCAAATGAAATAAATAATATGAATTGGAATGAAATAGAACAAAATAGAATAAATTGAAATAAAACGAAATGAATTGAAATATAATAAAAAGGAAAACCCTATACCCTAAAAACCATATATACAAACGGTTTGAAACATGCGATTCCATATGTGCATAGCAATCCAGGAATCTAAGACACTGAACTGACCTGGACTTAAACATCTACAGCTAATCTCTGGTACTGGTGGGTTCGCCCCGCAATTTAATACAACAGCGCAGGTGGAGGTAATACGACAGCGACAGCGACAGCACCACCACAGCACAGTGGTGCATCGGAAGGAAGAACACTACATGTGCACACAAACACAAACACAAAACAAACAGCTGCACGATAGCCCGCCAACTCATCACGGCGAAATACAACCAGACAGAGTAAGTGCGTATCACAGAGTGGTACAAGTGATGTCATTATTTGTTAGGTGTGCATAATTAATGACAATAGCTGTTGTGTGTGTGTGTGTGGTGGGTGGTAGCACACTTGCAACATTCCATGGAGCTCAGCATACCGGGATTAGGGAATGGCGCCCACTTCTTAGGGCAGACATTTTTCTTCAAGAAGTCGGTGCACGTAAAATTGGCCACTGTAATGGATAAATTGAATGACAAATTGATACAGAAATTAATACCACCAGCTCTTTTCTCTGTTCACTTTCACACTATTCCTATAGACCACAACGAGAGGGAGAGAAGTGGACTATAGTCTGACCTCTGTACTCGTCCCGCCAGTCCAGAACTTTGCCTCGGGTGCACACTTTTGGAGTCATGCACACAACAAGCACAAACAACTGTACTGGAACATACTTGTAAATTATTGTGACAATATGCTCAGAGGTGTGCACAAACTGTTGTTCTATTCATAGTTTCATATTAATCCCATTTATAGATTAAAACAGTATGGACCGGTACAGATAACCTCAGTCGGAGTGCGCCTCATCACGAGCACGTGTGGAGTGCTATACACCCGCACTATACTCAGAAGTGTGTTCACCAGTGATCACTGTAACTTAGTACAAAAATTTTAAACATGCACATATGTGGGAATCCTCCCAAAGCACACACACCCACCCCCTACACCCACTCTACCGTCCACAACTTGGTTTTTTATCAGCTCACCAATAACTATTGCTACGCCTGCCTAATTGTCTACTACCACAGATACATACTCCGAGTCAGGAAGGTACTACACACGCGACCATCCACTTATCCATACGTTCTTTAAACTATCAGTCACTACATCTGTTTGATTGCATATTTTTATGAACACATAGCCCTAGGCTGAAACTTATTGGACAGACGCTCATCCACTCGCCCGCATACCAATGAACTACCAATCACTACACCTGTTTAATTGTCCAGTACCACGAACACATACCTTGCGTCACAAGCTCATTGCACACCCGCTGCTCCACAATGTCGCCCACACACGCTAAGAGGTATCACCCAATCACTACAACTGTTTAATTGTCCAGTACCACGAACACATACCCTGCGTCACAAGCTCATTGCACACCCGCTGCTCCACAATGTCGCCCATACACGCGGCGCCTCCAGCAACGGCCGACTGCACAATGGACCGCGACCGCGTCTGCTGCCCACTCTCACCCAAAAACTGCGAACACGCACCCCACTCAGTCCAGACACCGAACATGCAGTCTACGGGGCACAGCTGTGGAGAGGGAATACATAGGCTTAGTAAGGGGGAGACTTGGACATTAATTGTAGGGCTTGGAAGGTGTGGTACTAACCACAGGGGCCTGCAGGTATGATGTTGGGTTTAATTTTTCCCGATAAGCGCGAACCGACGCCCCACTCAGCCCACTCAACCCACACTGCATATATATATATGTAATATACATACATACATATACAATATATACAATCAATATATATATATATATATCAGTCTACATAGTAAAAGCAGGACAGATGGTTGGGTGTAACATTCGGCGATGAGACGAAAGAATGTTAAGTGAGGCAGTATCACGTCTATGGGTCAAATGGTACAACGTTGAGTGCCCAGTGAATCCAAGGAAATCGGCTAATGAAATAAAACCGCTGTTTGGCTAGGAATACGGATTGAGGCGTGGACTAAGGCTTGTTGGTGAATATACCTGTGAGCCTTATCTCCGTGGCTGGTCCGAATATCGCAGCAGAAGTATAGAGCAGTGATACCACACAACCACAACCAATCATAGGGAATATAGGTAAGCAGTTGTGCAGTCGATTGTACACGTGTACTCATTTATCTGTAAGTATATGTACTGTTCAGATCCGCATATAAACGCACCTCCACATCCACACACGGTGTGGTGCGCACCAGGTCCTCGGGTGGCGGGCACAGATACGCTGGATCAGTGACATTCCCGGCTGAGGAAACAGGTATGAGATATAAGCATACTGTGTCGATGACACGGGCTGGCACAAGTGACCACAGACGCACCCAGTGTGAGGGTTGTTGGGGAGTGTGATGCGTAGTGAACATACGCCCCAAGCATAGCAGCGGAGAAAGGGTGAGGAATATGAAGGAGTGAGGGTATAAAGCTGACCTATTTTCTTGAAAAAGCATTTGGATGGAAAATATACACATAGGTGTTTGAATGTATGATGCGAGCCTATAAGTAAACAAAGCGGAAGAATGAATCTTCGAGAGACATCAGGATAACTAGGGATGGATAGTATCACAGGAAAGACTCAATACCATTGGAACAACGTCTATGTGCTGGCAGTAGTACGTCATAAATATGTAAACACAAAGTAAACACATAGCTGGTTTTCATTCACACAGCTGAAATACAAACACATAGCGAACACACACTCGTTAAGGCAATATACCTCTATACTAAACGCATACACACAACTGAAATACACAAAGTTCATTTCTTCACTATTGCAATTCGGACAACACTGCATACATAGACTGACTAATTCTTTCAGTCGCGCACCCGAACGCACACATACTGGGCTGGGCTATGATGGTGCGGGTAGAGATCTCCACGGCTGCACTTGCTGGGCCACAGATCACAGGGCACGGACTGTAGTCAGACCAGTCGCTGACCACGCATGGCGTCTGACAAATCTGCGGACACGACCATTTATACGGCGGTTGTGAGCGGAAATACGACGAATGGGTTCTGAAGTCGCCCGCAGGGTATTTGAGCTATGTGATGTGGCGCGATCGAGCCACAGATACGTATACATATTTGAAACTCTACTCCAACATGTCGGGTGGTTAATAGTAGAAACTGATACCGTGTATTTACCAGTATCGTGACTGGCTCTTCACTAGTCATATCGAAAAGTCAGTCGGAGATGGAAGTACAATATACATAGCGGTCGAACAGACATACATAGTAGATGATCACATGCTACCGATGCGCTTGCAGGGCATATAGTATAGGGAGAACAAACCCATATATCTACGACTTATATGACAGTCGAGAAGTTGTATGCGAGAAGAAAAACATATCATCCGACAAATCGGACAAATCCGCATATACGTTCATGCACAAGCGATAATGTACCGGGCCATGGCAGGGCTGTGACTCAAGGAGAACATCGGGACAACTGCCCCCATTAATAGCCGGCACATCGATCGATCTATTTATAGAATGGGGATGAGTCATGTGAAAAAATGCCATTTGATGAGAATTGTTGAGTTCACTACACTGAACAGGCGCGTGCATTGATTGCACCAGTTAAGGACCGAACTGCACTTGTTGGAGTGTGGACTGAAGACATACTGAAGGCATGGGGATAGCATATCCACACAAGCGATAGTACCTCTGACCGAATGGTTTCAGACTCTATATATATATATACATAGACTGTACTACCGCAATCTTACGCATGCGGGATATGCCGAATCACGTAGTTCCGCGATTGCAACTGATTGCTTATAATCCCAAGCCTCTCAGCCCAAAGCAGATACTCCCACGAGTGAGGACACGCACACAACAGCGACATGGGAAATCCATTCGACCCTTTTTCCTATAGGGATCTACGATATGATCTGTCTGCCGTGGAAGAACGCACGTGCTCTAGGTGATATCACTGTACATAAGAAGAATACATGTACCGGTGATACCATCAATAGCATGACATATACCCCCCAAACTGTTCCCTTTCTCTGTCCTCCTTTAAAGATTCTACGGGGAAAGGGGTGGCCGAAGGGGTGTCTCCTGAGGGATATGTAGTAGCCTAGATACAGCAGACACAGAACCTGGGGCATGTAGTAACCTTCGATAGAGGCACATGGCACCCGATGTGATAGCCTTGCCTTGACCGCACGGCATTTCCGTTGTTCCCACATGTGACACTGCAGAGAGGTGCAAGCATATAAAGTGGTTGACTGGTCTGATAGTAGCAATTGGTACTCAGACACCGTCTAGCATTATATCAGACCCAAATGCCCAGATGAACTGGTTAATGTAAGACCAGGGAGACTAGCAAAGGGGTGCATGCAGTGCGTGTACAGGTGTGTTGTAGTAGTCAATGTTGCAGGTTCAACCAACTCATACACCCCAGAGAGCAGATTATGTGGGGCAGACATGGGAGAACGGGTTAGTGAAATAACCACGTGATGACGGGGATCAAGATAACGTACTGCATGCGCATATGCCATCAACATAATGTTGGGTTCTAGGGTTTTAAGGGGTTTTTAGGGTTCTGCTGCACCCGTCTGTGCTTGTGCCATATACGCTGTTTGGCTGGAATATCTCACCGGCCAATTGTGTGATTTTCTGTGGCATGCAAATGAAGTGCGACATGTGGCATGGTTGCTAGGCAACGGGCTTACCTGCAATCCCCCCAATTGAACTAGCTGGATGCAACGCAGTCTACGGGGCAAGGGTCGACTGTGTGTAGGGGATAGGCATGGGGTGATGCGTGCTGATGAGCTCATGCTAATAGTGGGATATTTAAGGGTTTGTACCTAGTAAGGCAAATGGTTTTAATACCCTTCATACTATGTTTCGTACATTCTGATACATATTATGCACGTGGATTGTGAGTGCTATGGAGACAAGCCTCGCTCTCCGTGTTGTAGCATATCACTGTGTAATACACCACGCTGATACTGATACGGTGCTAATATGAACCATTCTGTACTATCGCGTTTTGCATTGGCATGTGACGCCTGCTGTGTATGCTTGTATATATTTTAATTCACCTGTGTGATTCACATAATTTTAATGCGTATGATATATAGGGCAACATATGTTGTGAAATAGAAAGTGAAGTACAATACAACGTACCACACAAGAGTTCATTGTCTACCTAGAACTTTTGAGGAAACATCTATAACAAGAACCCTGAACGACAAACCGTATTGTAAACCTCAAGTGATTTAACAACACCTATGCGCCCAACAAATATCACACTACACTCAATGATAAGAATACTGCACTACACGGTTTTTCTACATAAATCTAGGTTCATAGTACGCTATATATATAAATATATATATATGTATATGTATATTTATATATATATATATATAACAATACACACACATATATATATATACAGATACAGATACAGATATAGATAGGTACATATATTGATATGTATACACACATATATATATATATATATATATATATATATCATGTGTAACCTTTTGTGTGTGTGTACCCTTCTATCCTTACATGTAAGTACTGGTGTATATTTTTGTGTGTGTTTGTGCGAATTCAATGTCAATCATTAGTAACTTCGAAGTGTCGAAACGTACCACTTCTATCGTGGTAATGTTGCCGTCGGGTGTAGGCGGTAGAGACAGGGTGTAGGCGGTAGATTTCTTGGTGCAGAATCTTTCCATTGCCATTGCATCGTGAACAGTCTTGACTTAAGTTAATGGCCTCCTGCAATTTACATTCAAATGTGGACGGTGTTCATAGCATAAGTTTGAAAGTCGCCACTTTGAGTTGTGTTTCTGGTCTTATATGTGTGCGTTGGGGTGGGTGGGAAATTGCTCGGCTTAGTAATAAGAATTCGTAGGCCATGCGTGCATATTCATAGGGTTTGTAGGTAGACCTGTGAATGTGTATGTTAATATTTTAGATGGTGTGGGGCGCGCCACTATTAGCATGACATATACATATATATGATGAAGCCCTATCAAGCACGAATATCGCACGAATCCCATACATTGTGGTATGAAAATGTTATAAATAGAAATGAGCAGTGCATACCATCAAGAATACACATCGGATGTATGACCACTGCCCGCTATTTTAACTAAGTTTTGCAATCCACTTAGATGGGTAAATTTGGCCAGCAAGATCACATACAGCAATGACAACTGAGAGTACATAAAATTCAGTCCAAAAATAATGAGTTTAATTCTTCTGGCCGTATTCTATACATTGCTCAATCAACAGTAGACCCGCGCGTATGTAGCCTCAGACTATCACTCGAGATGACTAGTTCAAGACACCCACGGTACACACAGAACATACCACTCCACGGTACACCAGAACTTACCACTTTATCGTAGGTTATCTGGCTACCGTGTTCGATTGAACTGCTTTGAATGTCAAAACTATATTTGTTTGATTGCTGGAACTGCTATCAAGCGTAACAGTGGAAACCAGATTCGAAATCTGAAGCTCTATAGTAATCTCAAATGCCTCTCCAACTCAGAACTTAATAATACATTGCACAGGGTCACTGCACTATTAATAGCAAGCTCGTGCACGCGACGAAAACTACTAACATTGTTGTCCTGTACTCGGTGGACAAAAGTTGTCCGTTTGTGCACTTCTGGTTGAGCACTGTGATGTTGACATTCCCTCGCTGGTTATAGCACCTCTGAGGTGCTCCGTCGGGTCCTGCATACAAACCAGAACATTGAAAGGTTATATTACAATGTATTAAGAAAGCATCGATTGTGCTTCAGAAAGCTTTCGCAGTGACCGAAGGAATTGTACGCATATAGATAGTAATCTGCGCTTTGAATGACCCGTCATCGGGACAAGCAAAAGGACTGATTGTTCAAAGAATCTGAGGGATTGATCGTTTTCTTGTACCTCGATATGAGCAGTTAAACAGTGATAGGGTTGCTATCGACTGGTGAGGCAAAAATTCGTAAACATAGCAACGCATAAATCGTACTATTCAAACTGTTTTTGACATGCATGAATATGTATGTACTTTACAACGTTTGCTACAGATGTCCACGATTGGGACTGGCTTTTCACTCTCCAGATAATTAAAGTATCAGTACAGTAATCATCGCTGTTTTGAAGCTGCGAAATAGCCCTCCTTTGTTGTATACTTATGCTCCTGTGTATGTTCCAAATTAGGACGGTTTCTATTGTGTCTTATGAAACAAACATTCGCAGAATACGCATTCGCATTGACAATTGAGTTCTGACATGGTCATGTTTCCTGTCACTGTCCCATTTTAACCTAGTTACGATTGGACCTACACTTTTATATATCCAAAGTATCATGCGATTTGTTTTATAACGTAAATTTCATCAAGTTCGCAGTATGCGCAAAAGTGTATCCAAAATTGCCCGTGTACATAGTTTAATACTTGCACAGCTACATATCATGCCAAGTGTGTGCTTCTAACAATCACAATGCTACCGACAATACCACACCTGCTGTAATCATGCCTACATTACTTACTGTTGATTTACGCGTATATTTTTCGAGTTCACGTACTCAGATGCTTGATGCTTCAATAATGTTTTTGACTTCTACGCGCACATACAAAGTTATAAATTATGTGAAGACATTACAGTCAAGTCAGGTTAAGGTATACAGGCATTTTATTTACTTTATAAAGGCGGGAGAATCAATATACTCACAAAACCCACACAAAAATGACCAGAATGTATATAACCACTATCCCAGCCTATAGTAACTGCATACTTGATCCGATGCAATTGGGAGGGTTATTGAAGTCGGCCGGAGGATCTTGGGCATTAACTGCAACGCTCCCAAGGATTAGCGGAAAAAAGAACAGTTTGTGCATTGTATTCAGAATCAGTCCTGATCGCTAGAATGATAAGTATGTCACGCATGCGTCGTCCGACGATCGCGATACAGCTCACGCCAAAGCCTCTGTTAAATTTTCTAGCTCGTCTCGAGCGAAAAGCAGAGTTATGTAGTACTCAATGCAATATCTCGACAGAGCGGATATGATTGCTAGTAGGTGTTGAGGGAGGTCACTGTACTAATATAGGAATAGATATTACAAGTAGTTTACCGAGAACCAAGGTATGCACGCCCACAGTCCGACATAACAACAAAAGAAAGTTGTTTTTATTTTTTTGAAAAACCACAGGGCACAGGACGTTGCCACAGTAACCCCAGAGAGAGCACTCCAATCACAATTAGTCAATGGCAGCACAGAATTATTTTTTTTGGAAATTTATTACATACTGCATTATGAAAATAAATTCCTTCGAAAAAGACTGATATCAGCTCAACTTTGAAAAATAAATACCATTGTCGTGAACCATCTTATTTTTGTATTTTACTCTTTATTATTTAATTCCTAACTACTGTTTAAACAGCATTTTACTATTAGGAAGGTCAGGGTGCAAAACTGGCCTGCTCCCTGGCTCTTGTCTATATTTATTATGTGTGTTTTAAAATCATTACCACCATCTCATTTCTTCACCTCTGTCAGACTCTGGAGTCTGAAGACTCGCGTGGACAGTTGAGACTGGAGACTGGCGACTGTGAGAGTGTGAGCCGTGAGCGGTGGAACTGGGGAGTGGCGACTGTGAGAGTGTGAGCCGTGAGCGGTGGAACTGGGGAGTGGCGACTGTGAGAGTGGGAGTTGTGAGCGGTGGGGACTGGGGAGTGGCGACTGCTGGGGATTTGGAAAAGCCAGACTCCAGACTCCAGAGTCCACACTCCGATACAGAGGGTAGTCGACACTTTTATTGTGTGTTTTTTTTTGAATGGATAAAAGAGTCTTGGCTGTGTGTCACATCATTTTGTTCAAAATCCAGAACCAATCCGAGCTTTTCGGTATTTATGTTTGCCAAAGTTGTTTTATTAGAAATATCTATAGCTAAATATATTTTGCCGAGGAAGCCACACTGCCATATAAACCTGTTCAATTTAGAGGCATATGAGGAAGCGCTTGGTTCCCGACTACTACAGTAGCGTGAAACCGTGATTCAGGTACATAGTTTAAACAGATTCGGCCATTTGGGTCTTACGGGAGTACTGCTACTGCGCCAACTGGCCCAACCCCCACGATTCAAAAAACAACGCTCTAAAACCTTCAGATTTTCACATCTTCAGAAGCCCGAGTCCACCAGGGCCAGGAAGTGGTATATTTCAGAGCCTTCCGAGGCTATGTGTATTTCCTTTTCCTTCAGAGAAGGACATGGACTTATGTCATGTGTGTGAAAATTGCCAGGCATAATGACTGGTGAGTTCGCTTCCAACAAGTAATACACACGACGGGATTAAGTTTCACTCCTACTCGTCGTTACTCACTGAGGAATCGCTATGTTTTTATATAATTACTGAGGAATCGCTAATGTTGTTGGGGATTTGGGTACCGTTAACGAAGGCGATTTCGGCGATCTTGGTGATCTTGGTGATCTTGGTGACCTGGGCGACCGGGGTGAGTTTCCATTCTCTTTGGGCGGGACTTTGGGTGCAACGCCTTTCGGTGGCAGCTTGGGTGCTTGTGCCATGGCTATACGTTGCTCTCGCTTCTCCTCTACAACCCGCAGCAGGCTGACCTTTTGCAGACGAAAAATATTCCGGGCAGCCGGATATTTGTTCTGCAGTTTGGTCCAGGGAGAGAATTATCAACGAGCAAGGGCACGTGGACAGGAACGTGCCGTTTATTGAGCAGAAGAACGCCGATGAAAACGTAAATACGGATATGTAGGTTGTATTATACTGTGAGACTTGTAACATGGCTCTGCGGCTGAGGTGGAGATATCAAAAATAAAAGATACAGCTCGTTTCGCTCAAAGCACAACCAAAACAGGGTTAAGTTGCTATATTCACGGGCTACAGGCATTCGAAGCTCACAAGCAGCCCAACCGGCAAATGCAAACGCATAGTTCTGCAAGCACATGATAAAAATACACACTTAACTGTCAGATGACTAATATATATGCGCGTGTCTAATGATATTCACATACGTGTACAAATTCGATACATATGCATTCCCCACAAGCCTAGAGGAGCACAACTCTAAACACGGGTGAGTACCATCCCACCAATCATTCGCATGTGTGCCGGGATCTCTACTCACAAAGTGACCAGCCAATGCCAGACACAGAGAACTCTCCCGGCTAAGTAGACATAAGGGACACAACACACAGCTGGACCACGCACACGCACACGCACACGCACAGACAACGGGAGTATAAACAAGGACAGGGGCAACACCCACGCACACGCAGCACCTACCACCACGGTAGTACGGATGGAGTCGTAGTACTTGTTGACCACAAACTGGAGGTCCTGGTCTAAGTCCTGGACTTTGGTTTTGTCCGTGGCATTGACCGTGGAAGTCAGTCGCGTCACTTGACTCTCCAGTAGCGAGCACACACACTCCACAAGAAAGCGGTCGATCTGTGTGTGCGTACGTACGTATGTACAAGTTAAACAGTAGCCTACCCATACAACTTATAGGCATGTACATGCACAAGGAAGCGGTTGATCTGTGTGTACGTACGTACGTATGTACAAGTTAGATAGTAGCCTACCCAGACAATTTTTAGGCATGCACATGCACAAGGAAGCGGTTGATCTGTGTGTACGTACGTACGTATGTACAAGTTAGATAGTAGCCTACCCATACAACTTATAGGCATGTACGTGCGCATAGTCCACACTCAGCTGGTCCAATTAGCGGTGCAATTAGTGTATGGGGATAACTGCAGCAATTGAGCATTGGAGTGCATCTATAAACTTTGGATATTAAATACAGTATCTTACGAAATATTTCCATACCACATATAGAGATCAAAGCATCCGTTTGCACCTCTGTAGATGGCATTACAATATAAACGCATACCAACACATACAAGTGTTCTCAATCCGTAAGTACATATAGCTATCCGTACAGAATCAATTCCGATGTCTGGTACTGTAAAATAACAAGCGTCGGTTGTATTACGTACCTCCATTCCATCAAGTGCACAAACGTCTTGGGAAAACTGCTCGGTCTGCTCACAGAACAGCTTTGTTGACGGGTGCAACTGTACCTTCGTCATATCTGAGAACAATCCAATCATGTAAAGCGTGAGTAAGCCCCTCAAACTGGCACTAGGAGATACCGACGCGCACCGCAAACTACTAGTTGGACTTTAGGGCGAATAATTCAGATGTCTTGGGGGGTGGGGGGATCATTAGAGTCCGCACCTAATCCTACAACCAAATAATCTTGTAGTTTAGGTCGAAGAATTGGGATGTCTTGGGGGGTGGGGGGATCAATAGAGTCCGCACCCAATCCTAGAATCAAATAGTTTTGTACTTTAGGGCGAAGAATTGGGATGTCTTGGAGGGTGGGGGGATCGTTAGTCCGCACCCAATCCTAAAACCAAATAGTCTTGTAGTTTAGGGTGAAGAATTGGTATGTCTTGGGGGGTAAAGGGATCGTTAGAGTTCGCACTCAATTCTAAAACCAAATAATCTTGTAGTTTAGGGCAAAGGATTGGGATTCATAGAAGGATAGATAGTAAATGCACCTAGACCTATGTCCAGGGAATGGTGGACTGGTGGTACATTCCTTTTCAGTAGGAAGTAAAGGATGTGCTGTTCGCACGAAATGTGTTGAGCCCACATACAACGAGCAGCAGAATGACGTGCACCATGCACATATACGCATGTATGTACATGTATGCTCATATGCACACCTAAATAAGCATTCACGAGATTTCCAGTGTCAACAGTTTGTAGCACTCGTACATACACACACATATATATATATATATGTGTGTGTGTGTGTGTAGTATATATATATATATATACTATATATATATATATATATATATATATATTATTATATATATATATATATATATACTATATATATATATATATATATATATATATATATATATATATAAAT